GATATATTTGAGGTCTTTCACTTTAATTCGACAGATTTTACGAGGTGCCAAATATCGCCACCGAATCAGTTATGAGAGTGACTCAAATTTTAGCCATTTTCAGCGAGNTTTGCATGTTGTCCCTTGTTAAGCCTGGCAGAACGACGCAGGGGTGGTTTTTCTGGTTCTGCAGCTGGAATTGGTACAGGGTCCTGAGGGGTTCTGAAGGCAATGAAGATATCATCAGAGTCATCCGAAGAGTCGCCAGAACTTTCACTAGGTGGGGATCTATTAATCCTTGGGCGACGCCGGCGAACCCTTGGTGGAAACCGTGGTGGTAACCTCGGCTTAGGTTTGGGGCAGACTTGCAACTCAGAACGATTGACAGTTCTGGTAGGTCCTTGACCATCGGCAGGCTCAATTTCATAGACATGGTCACGGCGATTGACGACTTTGTAAACTTTGGAGTTCCACTTGTCTTGGATCTTTGCTCTCCCTGTAGGGTGGCTACGGGTGAACACTCTCTCCAATCGGGATGTCGTCCGGTTTGACATTTCGGTGGCGGTCAAACTGTTGCTTTCGCAGTGTAGCTTCTGCTCTAAGCTTGTCTTGTGCTTGCTGATGAGCATCACGTAAACGATTCTGGTGATGGGTAAGCCACTCTCCATTGTTACTTGCTGAATCTTCTTGTCCAATAGGAAGAAGGAGATCAACTGGTAGCTTAGGGTCAGTGCCAAACAACAGATAGTGTGGGGAATATCCTGTAGAGGAATGTGGTGTTGCATTGTATGCATAACACAGTTCCTTTAGGTGCTCAGGCCACTTCCTCTTCTTCTCGGGTGGTAGGTTGCGTAGAAGGTCATGAAGGGTGCGATTGAACCGCTCGCACTGTCCATTTCCCTCAGGGTGGTACGGTGAACTTCGGGATTTCTTAATACCATACATCTGGCACAATTCTTTGACCACTTCAGCCTAAAAACATCTGCCTTGATCAGAATGAATTCTCTTAGGCACAGCATACACGAGGAACCATTCACGTACCAGGGTTTTGACTACGGTACTGGCTCTCTGGTCTCTAGTTGGTACTGCCACAGTGAATTTAGTGAATACGTCAGTTAATACCAACACATTCTCTCTGCCATCTGATGCCGGCTCGAGTTGAGTGAAGTCCATTGCTAGTACTTCCAGGGGTTTGGATGCAATGATGCTGGTCATTGGGGTCTTGACGGGTAAGTAGGGTCCTTTCGCTATAACACAACGCTCACATTCTGACAGGTACTTTTTCACATCGTTGTGCAATCCAGGCCACCAGCAACGTTCACGTACCAGCTGCTCTGTCCTTTCCAATCCTTGATGGCCACATTGGTCATGGACACCTTTAAGGAGTTCCTCATGGAGACTAGCAGGAAGGAGCAGCTGTTGGCGCTTGTTACCATGGCTGCCAGCATTACTGCGGTAGAGGACTCCCTTCATCTCTTCAATACGGTCCCATTGGTTCAATAGCTGTTTCGCTTCACGAGTCTGTGCTTTCATCTCTCTAGCTGAAGGCTTACGACCAATGTTGCGGAAGTGTATCAGACACCTTATGGTAGGGTCCACCACTTGCAACCTGGCTAACTGATTTGTGTCCCACGATGGTAATGGACTGGTACTGGGGAGAGGGTCTATTGTTGGCTGCTCCAATGCTGACTGGAGTAATTGCTCTCGCAGAGACTCAGGTACGGCAGTGGTATTGAGGGAAGACGCCAAGACTGCTTNTACTTGCTGGATCTTCTTGTCCAGCAGGAAGAAGGAGATCAACTGGTAGCTTAGGGTCAGTGCCAAACAACAGATAGTGTGGGGAATATCCTGTAGAGGAATGTGGTGTTGCATTGTATGTATAACACAGTTCCTTTAGGTGCTCAGGCCACTTCCTCTTCTCGGGTAGTAGGGTGCGTAGAAGGTCATGAAGGGTGCGATTGAACCATTCGCACTGTCCATTTCCCTCAGGGTGGTACGGTGAACTTCGGGATTTCTTAATACCATACATCTGGCACAGTTCTTTGACCACTTCAGCCTCAAAACATCTGCCTTAATCAGAATGAATTCTCTTAGGCACACCATACACGAGGAACCATTCACGTACCAGGGTTTTGACTACGGTGCTGGCCTTCTGATCTCTAGTTGGTACTGCCACAGTGAATATAGTGAATATGTCAGTTAATACTAACACATTCTCTCTGCCATCTGATGCCAGCTTGAGTTGGGTGAAGTTCATTGCTAGTACTTCCAGGGGTTTGGATGCAATGATGCTGGTCATTGGAGTCTTGACGGGTATGTAGGGTCCTTTCGCTATAACACAACGCTCACATTCTGACAGGTACTTTTTCACATCGTTGTGCAATCCAGGCCACCAGCAACGTTCACGTACCAGCTGCTCTGTCCTTTCCAATCCTTGATGGCCACATTGGTCATGGACACCTTTAAGGAGTTCCTCATGGAGACTAGCAGGAAGGAGCAGCTGTTGGCGCTTGTTACCATGGCTGCCAGCATTACTGCGGTAGAGGACTCCCTTCATCTCTTCAATACGGTCCCATTGGTTCAATAGCTGTTTCGCTTCACGAGTCTGTGCTTTCATCTCTCTAGCTGAAGGCTTACGACCAATGTTGCGGAAGTGTATCAGACACCTTATGGTAGGGTCCACCACTTGCAACCTGGCTAACTGATTTGTGTCCCACGATGGTAATGGACTGGTACTGGGGAGAGGGTCTATTGTTGGCTGCTCCAATGCTGACTGGAGTAATTGCTCTCGCAGAGACTCAGGTACGGCAGTGGTATTGAGGGAAGACGCCAAGACTGCTT